ACACACACACACACACACACACACACACACACATACACACACGTACTCACACACACACGCGCACACACACCCTCATCCTCCAAGGTTCCCATCCTTCTTGCAGCAGCTGCCTTTGTACACTCATCCTTACTCTAAAGTTGGATTGTCAAGGATTCTTGTTATGCTTGTTTTATACCTAGTGGTACATGAGATAGTAAGAATACTTAAATTTTAGGTACTTTAAATAATGTAATCAAATCTACTTGTTAATACCAAGTAATAATACTGCCAGTGAATGACACAAAATAATTTGAGAAGATTTATAGAATACCAAAATTTAGAGTACCTTTGTGGTTCTTTTTTTTTGTGTCTTTTTGAGACAGAGTCTCCCAGTTGGCCTGGAACTCAGAGATCCACCTGCCTCTGCCTCCCAAGTGCTGGGACTAAAGGCATGTTTCACTATGCCTGGCTTACCTTTCTGTTTCTTTATTAATTTTTTAGTTAACATGTAAAATAGTGGGTTTCCTTATGACTTTTCATACATGTATGTCATTATATTCACTCATTCACCCAGCATTTCTGTTCAAGAAAGACAAATTTAGGACAAATTTTATATTCAGTCTCCAGTATGCAAAACAAAAGAAGAAAAAGAAATTTTACATTTTAATGAAGATCCAATATCCATGCTTTTTTGGAAAATTTCCCAGAGTTTAGATGATTTTACTTTATTTTTATTTCTTTTTATTATTTTTTTTTTTGGAGACAACAGTCACACTGTATAACCCTGACTAGCCAAAAACTTGCTATGTAGACCAGGCTTGAACTTGTGGCAATCCTCCTGTTCTGCCTCCAGAATGCTGGGATTATAGGCATACAGCACCAAACCTGTCTCTGATTTTTTTTTTTAATGTGTATTCGTGTATGCATGTATTGCCTGCATGTAGGTAAGTGCACCCATGTTCTGCAATGCCCAAGGAGGTCAGAAGAGGCTGTCGGATCCCCTGGACCTGGAGTTGTGAACAGTTGTTAGCTTCCATGTGGGTGTTGGGATTTGAACCCAGGTCTTCTGTAAGAACAGCTAGTGTTCTTAATCACTGAGTCATCTCTCCAGCCCTCTGGCTGATTTTTTTATAAGTATTATAAAACCTTTACATAAAATCATGTGTGGCTAATTGAACTTTTCTTTTCCTTCTTTTGGTAAATAGTTGGTTTAAATTTTTATTTCAAGCAGAAAGGACAGTCAAGCCATTTTCTTTCTAATCAGATGAACTTTGTACAAAGAGCCAGAGCTGCCCTTTAATTGTTTTGCTTTTCTCAGTAAAATGCCTTTATATGGAAAACTTTAAAACTTTATCAACAGTTATAAAATGTACTTTTATGGTCTGGGTGCGGTGGCGCACGCCTTTAATCTCAGTACTTGGGAGGCAGTGGCAGGCGGATCTTTGTGAGTTTGAGGCCAGCCTGGTCTACATAGTGAGTTCCAGGACAGCTGGGGCTACAAGGAGACCCTGTCTCAAAAAAAAAAAAATGTACTTTTATTTGAATACTCCACTTTTTACATTTTTTTTTTACATAATCCAGTTTTCAGAAATGAAAGTCCTGGGTGGGGCTAGAGTTGTAGCCCAGTTGATAGGGTACTTGCCTAGCTTGCATAAAACTCTAGGTTTGATCCCTAGCACTGCATAAAACCAGGCTTGATAGCACACTCATGTAATCCTAGCACTTGGGAGATAGATGCAAGAGGATCAGAAATTCAAAATTATCATCAGATACATAAGTTGGAGGTCAGCCTGGACTACATGAGACACTGTCTCAAAAAAAATTACTTAATTTGAGCATGGTAGAACATGCCTTTACTTTAATCCCAGCACTTGGGAGGCAGAGGCAGGTGGATCTCTGTGAGTTTGAGGCCAGCCTTGTCTAAATAGTGAACTCAGACCAACCAGGGCTACGTTTTTGAGACCCTGTCTCAAAATAACAACAAAAGATATAGATAGATAGATGATATAGATAGATAG